AAGTCCAGAGCCTTTGCGGGCAAAAACTCAGCCGATCCAGATCAATTCGATCGGAAGCCCCGTGTGCGTCTTTCGAGGAGGGCAATCGAGATTGGGTTTTAATTCCCTCCTGTCTTACGAGGGGATGCCAATGCGGCCAGAAATCATATCCCATCTCGGGAACTGAACAGTTTGCCCGCGCTACTGCCTCTCGTTCTTCGAACGAGAACAATAATCGCCCCATTCGCCTCTGAGTTCGGGATTCGGTATCCCAAATTCTTTTACCTGCTCTGGCCTCTTGATCGAGTATCGCGATCGAAAAGCGACGCTTGGTCGTTCGCGAACTCGGAGGGCGATCAAATTAATTTCAATTCCCTCTCGACCCCTGACCGCAACTGAACTCCAATATCACCTATTATACCGCTGAAGTAATACTATTACTGACTGATTTTCACCGCGTCTGCGTCAATTTTCTGAACAATGCTTTATCCTCTCTAAAATCTGCACAAAAAGCCGCACGACCGTTTTCGAGTAAGAAATTAAACCGTCAAATTTTTGGCAGTAGCGTGGCATGGTTTCTTTCTGCCTAACGTGGTCCACTTTGGACCGTGGGGAGGGTATATTGCCGTGCTATGGTAGAACGCCGTATGAACATCCGAGAGTCGCCAATCTTTCGATGGAATGTTTATTTTTGAGGAATGCTATGGATATTTTTCCTTGAAATTTTCAGGAACTTTAGATGAAGTTGCGAGCAAAATTACCTGAAAAATTGGCGGAAGAATGTTTACAAATTTTCCAGAAAATTCGTGATTTACCAAAGGCCATTTGGCAACGCCTGAAGGTTTATACGGCGTTCTTCCTTAGCACGGCAGTATGTATTCCCGAGTCCCATGCTATTTTATGCCTCGGAATTTTGCGTTGGCAATGTCGCAAATCGTGATACGCTCCTGAGAAGTTTCGCCAATCCAATGATAAAACGCCCGAGTAAAAGGCATGTATTTGGCGTTCCTCCCGTGCGAACTGTGGCGGGCCCTCGAGTTAACCTGAATCCGAATGAATGGAGGGATCCAAAGAACCTCGCAAAGATTTGATTAAGAAAGGGAACAAGAAGGCAACCCTCACGCATACCCCATTGTGCGCCCGTTTCAGGGAGGGTCGCGAGGGTACGCCAATTCTGAAGGAATTCCGCGTAGCGCCTTTGTTCGGAGGGGCCCTATCAGTTTTCTCCCATTCAACGGCTTTCGAGGTTTTAACAGAGTGCATTAAAAAATTGAACTTGTGTAATCTGGAAACCGCTTTTTTATTCCCGTGTGACGCGATGGGATGCTTATTTTTCTGACCGGGATTCTGTGAGGATGCTGTGCGCTCCTTTTTGCAGGCGAATTCTGGGAAGATCAAGATGGAGGGATCTGATTGATGGACTACTAATTTTTTTAGCGGCAAAAACAGTGTTGCGGTGAAACTGCGAAAGCGCATATCTCTGTTAAAGGCGCTGCAGAACTCCTGTCATATTTTTATTTTTTTTCCCCGTGGATAAATTACTTAAAATTTCAGTTAAAACGCGCTCTGGAATTTTGCCATTGGCTGGATATTTAGGGTGATCGGGGAATTTTTTCTATTTGCTTTTGAAAATTTCCGCACGCAAAATAAGTAAAAAAAAATCAAGTAAATGTCGGAATTTTCTCCGAAGATTTTTTTGGTGTTATTTTGGCCAAAAAATTCCTCTATTTCCCACAAATTTTCTCTCGGATCGCACAACCGGGCGGATTCCCTTAATTAACCCTCGGAAATCCCGGTCCATAAAATCTAATTCATCCATGGAACAGCTGAATCCTTCCCTTGGATCTATGTGCAGTGTAGATTTTCCTCTTCCACATTTTTAAGTGGAGTTGGGGCGCGGTCAGGGAATCGGATGAGTGGCGAGGTGTAAATGATCGATTTTCGATATTTCCCCCATTCGAAGCTATGATAAAGAATCGATTTTTTATGTTTTCGTTGCAAACACCCTGTCTATCGGTTCTTTTTTCGTAGGTTTAAATGGAAAATCAATCGATATATCGCATAGTCGGAAAGCTCGCAACTTCGCCGCGCGTTGCTACGGTGCACGGTGGATCTAGTCAATTAAAGAGTTCGGACATGAAATTTTTGGCTAAAACTACAAATTTTGGTGTTCATTGCGTCACATTTCAAATTGAAGGGGTGTTTCTAGGTGACAATTTCACGAGGAAACCAATGGAACGAATTTCAGGCCTTCAAAATTTTGTATAAACGGAGTTATTAGCGATTCAAGTTTCCAAATTTTGTCCGACCACTCCTACTGACTCAATCCATTGTGCGGTGGTGGCGAGCAGCCGTTCACGTTGGGAAATACTCAACACGAATTCCTGGGCGCTTAGTTTTTGTTTTTATTGAGCAGCCGTCGTGTGTGTGAGTTGGGGGGAAGGGGGCAGGGGGGCGTTTTGAGTGGAGAACCACTTTCGTTGGTCGAGAGTGAAAACGAGCGGAGTGGAGCGGGCGCAGACGGAATTTTAAGAGAAAGTTGGACGGCGGCAAAGGCGAGCAGATGTCTGATTGCATGTATCGTATCGTTACGAAACCTGGCAAAAGTCGCCCGGCGCCCCCCTTACTTCACCCCCCCCCCCCCCCCGCATTCTGGGCCCGACACCCAGCTCTGCACCCCACGATCATGCTTGCGGGACGATTTGTTCGGAGTTGCGGCGATAAAATTCTGGGATTCAAGGTTGATACTCAACTTTGACATCAGGGGCAGAGTTAAGAAATTTCGTGAAAGATTTTAAGAAGAAATAGAAGAAATTTCATGAGGAAATTTCAAGAAATTTCATGGGGAAAAAAGAAATTTCTTGAAATTTCTTGTGAAATTTCACGATGTAGCGCATGTGCATATCATAGAGAAATCTCTCAATTGGAAAAAAAAACATTGGATCTAGAGTCCAGACTCTTGAAAACATTGACAAGAAAAAATACTCTTGATTCAATCAGATTTTTGCTTAAATCAAACGGAAATCCGCTCAAATTAAGAGGCTTGGTTCTCGATTTAAGTAAAAATCCGATTGAATCAAGAGTATTTTTTCTTGTCGATGTTTTTAAGAGTCTGGACTCTAGATCCAATATGTTTTTTTTTCCAGTGAGGGCTCCGAAAAAGGTGTTTTAAACTGGAAAGCCGGCAAAATTGTGATCATTCTTGCGAAACTGCAGTTTCTTATTGCTTAACGCATGATGATAAACATCATGCGTTTTACCGGAAAATCGCGGTAACCATCTCGAGTTTTTGCAAAATCACAGCAATTCATACGTACAGCGCCCTAAAAAAATTGTATTTTTTAAATTTCCGAGGGAAAAAGGGTTTTTAGAATGGGAAGGTTAAGAGTTCTCTGCGTCCCTGCACAAATTGTGTGCAATGCATTCGTGATACGATCGGTATACTTCAAATTCTAAATCTTCGGTGGAATACGTCAGAAAAATCGGAATTCAAGTATCTAGATCAAAGATGTCTTTGATGTAGATTCAATCATTAGGATGTTCGCGCCGAAAATCATCCTTCAAGATATCAAGCTATGGTAAAAAAAACTGTTTCCATTTTCAACCCATTCCAATGTGTAGAAATCGACGGTTGATTGGAAACAGGATTCTTACTTTGTTTCAAAATTTTGGGATATACAATTCCGCATGAATATTCCTCAATGATTGATTTAAAAACTGAAATTTCTATTTTCCAAAATAATCCACCGATTGCTTAAAATTTGAAGTACATAGATCATACCCAGAATACACTGCGCAAAAACTCAAGGTCCACCTACTACGAAATGCTTCCATTGGGATCAGGAAGTTGTCCTCCGGTCATTTTTGTTTTCTAGGGAAGTGATCATTTTTGTACACTCTTCATGCCTCGTTTTAGCATCTCCCTTGTTAGAACTTGGACATCGCCAGGACCTTCGTTACGTTGGAAAGTCCCAAGAATTGTCCTAGAAGTTGAGCAAAAATCCAGGAATTTCGTTACCGAATCTCAGTGACCACCCCGAGTTGTGACGACTCATCATATGCCTACCTGATTCTCGGGATCAGTATCAGCGCCAAACGGTTCTTTCCCCCTCGAAGCGAAGAGTGTACACATTCCTGAGGGAATAAATGTGAAGTAGTCCACCGATCTCAGTGTGCTATTTTCGTGCCCGATGACACAGGTAGAATCTGTGAGGCAGAACATTCATACCTGCCACCCCTGAAATGATTAATCGAGTGCAGTTCTCCGAATCTACATTGGGGTAGGTTCTGGGAGAGGGATCCGGGGTCAACTTCCACGTTGCTTCTCGCAACTCCACCGCTGATGGCTATGCATCTGCGGTACCACAATCAGCAAGCGACTATGTCATCGGCATCGCTGGAACTTCGTGTTCTAAATACCATCCTGAGTCGGTGAAATAATCTCGTTTACGAGCATGAACTTTTAAAGCTCTTTTTGCTTTTGAATTCCTTTTGACTGACCAACATTTCTTGCTCCTTTGTTGCAGTTCCTCGCGTTCCATTCGGTGAAAATGCCCTCCATTCCAGTCTCCGAATAATCTCGGTAAGTTCTCAAATTCTTGTCCATCTCAGGCAAGCTTATCAGCTCTTAAAAGATTGGGTGACATAGAAGGTTAACTATTTTAACGGGTGTATTCGGTATCTCAGTTTGCTGAAGATGTATTTCAGACTGACTTTTTTGCGCGTTTCTTGTCAGGCAAACTGATGGAAAAACTCAAGTCCGATGCCTCTTTAATACTCTCTCTTCGTTTTTAAAGCCACCTAGAATTAAATGTTGAAGCTTTTTCAATCGGAACTACCAAGTTTGTGTTGAGAATGATTGGGTCTTTCCTCTACCCTACATAACGATGGCTATAGTCGCAAAATGCGCATATCCTTTTGCGGCGCACAGTGGAGCGAGTCAATCAAAGAAGTCGGACATGATATTTTTAACTAAAACTGCAAATTTTATTGTTTAACTCGTCAAATTTTAAACTTTAAGGGGTGCATTTATTAGAAAATTTCACGACGAAACATATAGAACCACTTTTAAGATTTTAAAGTTCTGTTTGAACGGAATTATGAGATTTTAAAGTTTCCAAACATGTCCGACCCTCCCCATTGACTCGGTCCACTGTGCGGCGTTACAGACCTGCGCTCATGTCTTACTTTTCCGAAGAACACTAATTATTCCCCAAGAATTTTTCTTGAAATTTTCTGTGAACGATCTTACATTAAAAATTTTTTTCTTACCCTCTGAAAAAGACACTGCAGATACCTAACTTCGTTTTGAAAAGACCGCACACATTCGGAGGGCATTGCAATGGATCCACGTATTTTTCGACTCTTACCAGCGACATGACGGTTTTTTTCCGTACTTGCAATCACTAAATCAGCTTAGGTCTGATAATTCCCCCCAATCGGTCTATGCAATATCTTGTACGTACACATTTCCTCTTTTGACTCCCAGTGAAAGCATTTTTATGGATTAAAAAAAACTTCGAGGTTCTTAAGGTCGATCGATCCACTTATCTCCTGTCTCATTTCAAAAACGCAATGCAAGTCATATTCAGCAACCCTTCCAAAAGAGGTTAGGCTCGTACACGGACTCTCTGGTGGTCGATTGTTGAATCATTATCGAATGTACTTTATCGATAGATCCCTATCTTGGCAATGCTATATATCGATCAAAGTCGTTCTATATCGATTTAACAATCGATTCTTGGTTATTATTCAATAATTCATAACTGTCGGCGTATTTCCCTACGTTTCTCACATCGCCGGAGTGAGAGCCGGTTTGTTTTAAGATGACAAGTGCTCTCATTCGTCGAGCAAGCGTACGAATGTTTTATCATGATTCGCTTACGTTTCGTAACTTCGTGGCGAGAGGACTGTTGCAGTACTCTGCCGTACTATGGTAAAACGCCGTATGAACATTCAAGAGTTGCCAAATTTCCTTGAATGAAACGTCTATTTTTGTGAAAAATTATGAATATTTTTCCGTGAAACTTGCAGACACTTTAGATCAAATTACGAACAAAATTACCTTAGAAATTGGCAGAAGAATATTCGAAACTTTTCCTGAGAATTAGTGATTTGCCAGAGGGAATTTGGCAACGTCTGAAGGCTCATACGGCGTTCTTCCTTAGCACGGCAGTATTCTAGCTTAGTTTAAATGCGAATAATTATGATCGATCAATCCGAGGTATTGCGTTCGGCTGGTGCACGCTGTTGCCCCTGCGGGTTTAGTTAGTCGACTAAGAGGGCACTAGGGCCAGTAACTGAGCATTCATCGGCCGTCGGACAATTTCTGAGGAGAATCTTCTGCTGAAGATCTAGGTGCGTTCTACTGATGATGTGATTGCTAGATTTTCTCATGGCTCATTTTAAAAGTAAACGGAGGAAAAGTTCCTGTTGGAATGATGAACAATATTCGTGTACGAGCATTTTAGTCGGATCAATAAGAAATCTCCTTGTTTCTAATGGTATCAGTCAATTCAGATGACCCGTCACTTTAAGAGATTTCCCGTTGACTCAACAAGAATTCTCGTCTGCATATTGTTCGCTAGAACATTTTCCTCCTTGATATTTTGACTAGGATTTCAGGTGGGAGAAAATGGACTGCGTTTTGCCATCTCGAACGTGCAATTTCTAGCTAATTTAGGACTAGCTAATAATAGGAGAAGTCGGACAGAAACTAGAAGTTTTGAAAGCTTATATTTTCAAATACATGAAAAAAAAAAAACAAAAAAGTTCACGGGTGGTTCCGTTGGTTCTTTTGAGAAATTTTCTTTCAGAATCACCCCTTGTAAGTGAATTTTGGGACGGAATAAACATCAAAATTTGAAATTCTAGCCAAAAATTTCATGTCCGACCCCTTCTATTGGCTCGTTCCACTGCGAGCCGTGGAGGCTCTCAATCATATCATCCATAATGCATTTCGGAGATTCCATTCAATCCTGCGAACTTGTGAAAGACTCCTTTATACAGTTTTGGCGAGCGTATACATGCGTCTTATAATGAGCTGGATAGGGTTTGAATCGATATGTATGTTGAAAATAATCGAGGAGCTTCTTGCATAACGACCCGCGGCGCGAGTCTGTAACCTTACACCTGGTACCTTGCGTAATTTTTCGACGTCTACCAACCCCCTCCCGGAAGACTCGTCCCTTCTGGCCTCCCCCTCCCCTTCTACCTCATTTTCGCCCCTGCGGGATTCATCTCCCACCTGGATATCCACCTGATATCGAGAGCCGTATAATGTTCTCCCTCGAAGTTCCTCTATCACTGGAAAAAAAAAACACATTGGATCTAGAGTCCAGACTCTTGAAAACATTGGCAAGAAAAAGTACTCTTGATTCAAGCAGATTTAAGCTGAAATCAAAAGGAAATCCGCTCAAATTAAGAGGCTTGGTTCTTGATTTAAGCTGGATTCTGATTGAATCAAGAGTATTTTTTCTTGTCGATGTTTTTAAGAGTCTGGACTCTAGATCCAATGTGATTTTTTTTCCAGTGATTCCGTTTAAAGCAAGGAGAAACGAAGACTGCTAATTATATCGAAATCGGAACAAGTTCATTTTTAGATTTGGCCTTGTTCTTATGGGCATTTTTATCGGGCGATCATTTCTTAAAGATTGGGGTGATGTTTCTTAGGATAATTGACATTTTTTGTTCCGGCCAAATATGTTTTTTTTTTTTTCACCCATGCATGAGCGGTTTAAATTTTATTTTAAGGAACTACTATTTCAAGCTTATTCAGGAAAAAACACGTGTTTCATCAATTTCCCCACCCAAATAGCCGCTTTGGCGATTGAACTAAGAATAGTAGTTCCTTATTGCAAAATATAGTCCAAATGTGGTATACTGGTTTAGGTTTTGCCATTTTCATGGTAAAACTTCGAAACTTGTTTGGAGCACATGATTAATGTTAAGGAAGCTTATTATAAATTTCCAGACACACACCTCTTAGTAAATTAATTTTTTTTTAGTTTTCTAAGGAAATTTGGAGAAGTTCAAAATTTTCAAAATTCTAGGGGGCAAATTCTCTCCCCTTGTTATTTACCAAAGGCAATTTGGCAATGCTTGATGGTTTATACGGCGTTCTTCCTTAGCACGGCAGTGTTCGTCCCGAACTTATTCGGCGAACTGACGGCTTCTCTGACGACGCGGCGCGGCGGCGAATCGCACGCTGCCGACCGGAAATGCCTCACTTGACCTCCTTAATCACTAACCGGCCGACTTGACCATTTGATACGAGATTCGGGATTGATCATCGCAACCGCAGCAGTTTCAGCAACCTGCCCCCAAATTATACCCAACTCCAACGCCCGCGATCTCTTTGACCCTTGCCCGCGCCAGGTGGCCCGAAATCACTGGTGCGGCGTGCTTTGCGATATATCGAGCCTGCCATTTAAACCTATGGTAAAGGATCGATTAACAGGATGTTCGCAGCAAACACCTCAATAATCGATTCTTTACCATAGCTTCAAATGGAAAAATATCGATAATCGATCTTTCACGCCTCGCCTCTGCCCGAAATTCACACGACTCGCACGTCCAGAGATTGCAAGTTCTTGTTTTCGCCACAGGTGAATTGCCCAGCGTTAAAACCGCACATCTTCGTTAATTGATGGATATTACAATACATGCATTCTTATGGAACTGAGGGCTCATCTACCCTTCCAGTTAGGTCCTTGTTACCGTCGGCACCCACGCGTGAGCGTGAGAACGCGAAGTTCATGGCTCCGCCCAATCAAATCGGCACACACGTTTCGTTTCGGAGAAACTGACAACATCTAATTATTATACCTGTTCCAGTTCTCGCCCCACGAACAATTCATGATATCGGTTTTTTTCGGAGGGATTCTCACAATTTTTCCGCGGCCGGCAGATGTGAAGTTGGTCCATTTAAATTGAAATTGGCATCGCTGACCTTTTTGTCTCCTCCGGCCCAAACTATCGGATTTAATGTGGGCCTGTCACTACCTTATCAGACATTGTTTCGCGGTCGTGCCCTTTTACAAAACTGGCACACAGTGGGTCGAGGCAATCGGAGAGGTTGGACCAAAAATCGTTGACAAAAACTGCAAATTTTGATGTTTACCTCGTCATATTTTAATTTTTGAGGGGTGCTCCCAGAAGGAAATTTCACGAAAAAGCCAATGGAACCCCTTAAAGAACCCCAAAGTTTCGTATGAACGGAGTTTCAAGCGTTTAAAATTTCCAAATTTTGTCCGAACTCTCCCGTTGACTCGATCCATTGTGCGGCATCGAGGATTTTGGGGATTGTTCTGCTTCGTATCGATGATCGAACCAGTGGCGTGGCGTGTTTTGCGATATATCGAAGGATCTACCATTTAAAACTATGGAAAAGGATCGATAGACAGGGTGTTCTCAGTGAACACCTTTATAATCGATTCTTTACCCTAAGTTTAAATTACATATCAATCGATACATCGCAATTCACGCCACGCCACTGGATCGAACGGAGGCTCCTGCGGTCTTTTCTAAATTTTTCTGTGATGAATTTCCTCGTGCGTTTACATTATCCAGTCGTGACCGAAA